TGGTTATTATAAAAACCTAACAAGTGTTGCCAAGGATGTAGAGAGAGCAAACTCTTGTGTACTGCTGGTAGGAATGTCAAATGGTGCAGCTGCTATGGAAAACAGAATGTCAGTTCCTCAAATAATTAAAAATAGAATTACCATATGACCCAGCAGTTCCACTGTGGGTATATGCCCCAAAGAATTGAAAGCAGGATTTTGAAGAGATATTTTTACACCCATGTTCTTCATAGCAGCATTATTCACAATTGCTAAAAGGTGGAAACAACCCAGATGTCCATTGACAGATGAACAGATAAACAAAATGTGGTATATCCATACCATGAAATGTTATTTAGCCTTAAAAAGGAAAGAAATTCTGACACATGCTTACAGCATGAATGAATCTTAAGGACATTATGGTAAGTGAAATAACTAAGTCACAAAAGGACAAATACAGTATGATTCCACTTATATCAGGTACCCAGAGTAGTCAAATTCAGAGACAGAAAATAGAATGGTCAGAAGCTGGAGGAAAGGGCAAATGGGGAGTTCGCTCTTTGATGGGTACAGAGTTTCACTTTGCAGGATGAAAGCCTTCTGGAGATGGATGGATGGTTGCACAATGATGTGAAGGTACTTACTGTCACTGCACTGTATATTTGAAAATGGTTAAAGTAGTAAATTTTATGTTATGTATATTTTGCCACAATTAAAAAAATAAAAATAAGAGTTTTCTTTTTAGAACAAATGATATAAAACTCAATCCAAATCTAAGAAATGTTAAATTAATTTCCATTAACAGTAAAGCTATCTTTCTTAGCTACTTGCTCATCCCAGCTTGCTATAGAAATACTTTACCACAATTCAGAATGTTTATAATAGTTTTCACTTACATGAAATATTTTGCCTACCTCATCTATTATATTTAAACCACTTGAACTTGGTACAAATAGTGGCATGACTATCGATACTTTTAATTAAATATGGCTGATAGTATTTTAAGTGCTAAAACATTATTTCAAAAGTGAGAAATATACCTACATTTAGGATTAGATGCACATTCTTTGTGAGAATCTTTAACATGTTATATCCTGTAGTGTTAATTTGAGATTTCTAATAACGTGAAAAGGCAATCTCTATTATTAACATCTATTATTAACATCTCTATTATTCTTCATGATTACAAAGTTCTGTTAATAGATCTGTGGAGTCAGCACTCACTTAGAACTATAACATACTAGCATCATGGTTTGAAACCTTTTTGAATTACATATACTAGACCAGTTGTTTTAAATCTTTTAAAATATCATCTCCATTTCAGTAAAAAATTATTTATAAATAAAACACATATTCCATAGTACTTTTATAACACATAAAACACAAATATTTTAAAAGATTAAAATGCAACAAATGTTTGCAAACCATGATTCCTAATGATAAAGTAAGACTTTATGTTCTCAGGAAAAATATCTGAAGTGATGTGCATTATAAGTTTCAAAACTATTGGTAGGCCCACCAAACTTGCTTCTCCTTTCTCCTGAGGACTCCCTGGACTATATTCCCCAACCTCCCGTTTTCCAGCATCAGCTTTATGTTCTCAGGAAAAATATCTGAAGTGATCTCCACTTTAAGCTCTGAATCCAACTGTCTTTCACCTAGACACCTAGAAGGCAGACGCTTAACCTAGAAAGAGCTGTTTCCGTCTGTACTGTCCAACTCAATAGTCACTAGTCACATGTGCCTATTTACATTGAAATTAATTAAATGAAAAATGTAAAAAAGTTAAAAATCAGTTTCAAAAGCTCAATAGCTATGTGTGGCTAGTGCTACTGTATTGCGTGGATAGCACAGATACAGAAAATTGCCCGCATTGCAAGCTGTATTAGACAGTGCTGGTCTAGACTACGCTTGAAGAAGAGTGAAGTCTCCAGATCCATACTGCCTGGATTCAAATTCCAACTGCTACCCTTACTACTTGGGTAAACCTGGGAAAGTTATTCCCCTCTGCTCACTTTGGTTTTCTCATCTGTAAAATGAGGATAGTAATTAATTCCTGCTTCATAACATTATTGTGAAGTTTAAATGATTTTCATGTAAAGGGCTTAGAACAGTGCCAGCACATAAAAGTGCTCAATGAGTATTGGATGTTCTTATTTTTATTCTTGATATTATTCTCCCTGACTCTACCTTACCTCCCATTTTCTTTGACCGGCTCCAGTAAGGCCTTGTCCACCACTGCAAGGCTTGTCAAGGTTTACCAAATTCCCCATCTTGCCAAATCCAAGGTCAGTTCTCAGTCTTCCATCTTACTTGACCGTCAGAAGCACTTAACACACTGATAATCTTTCTTAAAATATTTCTCTCATCTGGTGACGAAGATACCATATCCCTTCCTTCTCTTCCCTTCTCTATCTCTCTCTCCTTTTTTAATGGCTGCTCTTTTTCTTTCTTTCTTTTTTTTAAGATTCTATTTATTTATCTGACAGAGAGAGAGAGAGAGAGCAAGCACAAGCAGGGGGAGCAGGAGAGGGAGAAGCAGGCTCCCTGCCAAGCAGGGAGCCTAATGCGGAGCTCAATCCTAGGACTCTGGGATCATGACCTGAGCTGAAGGCAGATGCTCAACCCACACTGAGCCACCCGGGTGCCCCTATGGCTGTTCTTTAAGTCTTCCTTGATGGATTCTCTTCTGATTTCCCAAAGTTGGAGTATCACAGAGCTCACTCTGGTTTTCTTCTTGATTTCAAGTTACCTTAAGTAATCTTATCTAGTGCCATGGCTTTCAGTACTACCTGCTGAGCACTCCCAAATTACATCCTTAGTCTTGACCTACTACTAGGCTCTGGACTCATATCCAACTAACCATATAACAACTTGCTTACATGTCTAAACAGGCATCTCAAAATCAACGTGTAAAATAGAGCTCTGGATTCCCCTGTGAGGCTGAATTTGTTATGGATATCTTATATCTACAATTATTTAAGTTTTCAAAGCATTTTCTTATAAACTTTAAAATATTATCTTTAAAAAAGCCTTTTTAGTCAGATGAACGTTCTATGACTCAGGTAAGTCGGGTAGGTTTTTAAAGAGGTCATATTTGATTATCTTATATAAGTCAGAGTAAGCAATGGAATCTGAGTCTCCTTGTTATTTCTATGTGTATTCTGCTGAGTTATAATGCCTAGCAAGTCATATTTAATCTTTAGAAATGATGACTTTAAAGGCGAGTTTCCAATTAACAGGCAAAGGAGCGTACAAAATAGCATGGCAGAAGACAGACAGGACTTAGCTGCCACGTGTACTGGTCAACAACAGACCTTTATAAATGGTTCCCCTTTTGCCAGTTGTTTACATATCATTGCTATATCTTCCAGAATAATTTCACTATTCTTTAGAAAGATCCCATTTTGCTGAGTATTCTACTCTTTAGAAGGCAATAAAGCAGTCTTGTCTGAAAATGCATTCTGGTTACAGTGATATTTATTTTTACGATGATAAATACCATCCTTGTTCTCCAGGTGCCGAGCACATAGTAGGTGCTCAATATTTACCAAAAAACCCTGAGCAAGTAGAAATAATTATTTATTTTAACACCACATATTCTCTAACTTATATAAACTTATATGAGTGTCTGTTTTAAGTTTAGGTTCTGTATTTTTTAATTTATAGGCTTTACTTTTAGAACAATTTTCATCTTATAGATGTTTCTAAGTTTTAAGGAAAAAAATGCAATGAAGTTCTAACTGCTAGAGACATATAAAAAAAAACTTCAATTTCAAAAGGCCACCATCACATAACATAGCTAATTATGTATAAATATTTGCAATTTTAAAAATCATTGAAATATGTTCTCTATGTTCATAAATTAAATTTTGTTTGTATATTAAAATGTAAAATAACATCTTAAAACACCGAATGAAAAATTCCTTTCAATAGGCACATTGAACATAGTGAGTTACAACCACAATATAAGGAAAACCATCAAATAACTATTTCAATATAATATTATTATATAAGGCTCAGATTCCAGAATTGCTGTTATAATTATATAAAATCAAAATTAGTCGGGTCCAGGAATTAATGTATCCTCCAATTCTTTGGTGTTGCAGATTTTTGTCCAGATTTCTGTGTATAAGAACCCTAGTAATTCAAACACAAATGAGATTTCACCTATTTGCCTATAATTTATTTGCTGTGAAAGGAACACCATATTATATGCTTTTGTTTGTTAAGTAGAAGATATGTTATTATTTCCAAGATGCCAGGGATTTAATGTTTAATTATCAACAACCATTTGAAAAGACATTGCTTTGACTCACAAATTTCTTAATTGCTAACTGTGGCTTTTCTGAGTAGGAGTAGGAGTGCTGTACCTAATTTATTTTTGCAGATGTGAGTTAGAAACTGAATTTTAAAGTAGCAAAGCTTTGAATATCTTCACTATCAGCAGAAAATTCCTCCATCCCTGCTGCTGGAGAATATTGCTGCTTGGAAGTTTTCGCAGGAAAATAAAAACTGCAGTAAGAAAATTGATACTACTGGTAAATGCTGCTTACAAACTGAAAAAGAAGTTAGGTTGTCAGCAATAAAAGAACTATATTATTCACACAAAATATGAAGTGTCATCTTCATCAGGGTAACTTGCTGAGAATGAAAAATAATTTGGCCGGTTCCCTCTTGAGGAACCTAAAGAAAGCAAATATCTCACAGATCAGATAATCTTTACGAAGGATCAACCACTGGCAATCTGGCTCCCACAGCTTAACTTCTCCCTAAGGAGGAAAGACACTACATGCCTCTCAAGAACAGGGGCCGGGGTTCACTTCACAGCAGGCTCATTTGTCACTGAAAAACAAAGTTATTGTTTTATTTTCAGAAAGGTTTAACCAGTTTAAAAGGCCCCTATCTCTCTGGAACATATCCTCTTCCATTAATGACTGCAATAAAATGAGCAAGAGAAAAGAATACGTATTTTAATGACAACTCAAATATCAAGTCAAAAGTAACATAAAAATGCCTACCCGTTTGGCTGAGCTGGGAAGCACTGCGACTTTTCCGGGAGAGGCCAACAATAGCTACCATTTTGGCCCCAATGCTAGAGCGCCGCTTTTTGCCGCTGGTGCCCAGGGCACTCACCGCCGTGTCGGACTGGCTGCCGTCCGCCTTGTCCAGCGAGCACATGTCTCCACTGATGCTGGTGCTTTTGGTCAGGCTCTTCCCTGAGATGCCCATTTGTCTGCTTTGCATTTTGGATGTAAAGACACTGTAGGCCGATGGATCGTTAAAAGGGAGGACAAGAGTGAAAAGGAAAAGACAGAAAATGTATTTTAGATGAAACATCTGGAGTATAATTAAATGATACCATTTATGGGACCCAGTTTTAGGGTTTGAACATTTTCAAGTATCATGGTCTCGAATGGGCTTTACGATTCAGGGTCAACCTCACGCAACTATGGAAGCTCATACTCATGATTTCATTTCCGCTGTCAGAGAAGGCACCAGTTTGCATGGCCACAGAGGGGGAAAAAAATTCACAAAAAATCAGAGGGCTTATTGGAGATAATCTACTGTCCTGCAAGGGCAAATACGCTGTAAAACAGCTATACAAAAAAGGAAGACGTTTGCGAAAGCATTCTCTAGTTTGCTTTCCTATCGCCTTCAAAAAGAAATTATAGGAGTGGGAAAATTCTTCAAAAAATAGCAAAACTGACAGCATCCACTGCTAAGAGGGGCCTTTCAACGTAAGTTTTCTTTGTCTCATAAGATTTGTAAGATTTCTCTAATAATGGTTAAATTTTCTAATAGAGATCAATGTTTTCATTAGTTTTGAGTTAAAAATAAGTTATTTCACTTAACATAAAAATAAGTTATTTCACTTAACATGAATTAAAAATAAGTTATTTCACTTGACGTAAGAATAAGTTATTCCAACTTAACTCACTTATGAACATATGTTCATAAACATAATTTTATATTTGTTGATGTCTATATTCCAAAAATAAAGAAAAGGAAGATTTCCCTCTTGCATTCATTTGAAAGAAGGAAAACTCATTATCAGTTTTCTAGGCAATATGGTCAGAAAGCAATCAATGTCTCAATGAAGCATGTGAGCTGATTAACGATTACTGATTACTGATGACGGTTACTGATTAGCTGATTACTCCCATTGGCAGTGTTAGCAGTGATTACTGATTACTCCCTTTGGCATTAGTCAGTAGACTAACCCTGCCAACGGGTGTAATTAAAGACAGGACCCTCGATTTTTCTGTGATCACTGGAGCGTGGCGGGAAGTAGTATGGGGGTTGGAGAATCTGGAAGCAGGATATCCAGCTGGCCCCCAAAACCCGAGAGAATGTGAAGGAAGTGGCCTGTGTTGCAGGAATGGGAAGACTTATTTACATATCATTCTGACTCAGGATTAGAGTAATAATTTCTGCTTTAATTTGGTTTTGATAATATGAGTGAATAGCAAAAGAAAAGAAACAAAATCAAAAAACATTAAAAATATATATTTTTAAAGATTTTATTTATTTGAGACAGAGTCTGTGTGTGGGGGGGCGATGGGGGGCAGGGAAGGCGAGGCAGAAGCAGACTCCCTGCTCAACAGGGCACCCCGATATGAGGCTTGATCTCAGGACCCTGAGTTCAGGACCAAAGTGTTTGCAGATATTTAACGGACTGAGCCACGCAGGAGCCCTAGAAATATATTTATATGTCATTGAAAGAATGAGAATTAGAAAACTGACCTATTGAGGTAAGCTCTTATTTCTAATTCAATTTCTTGGTCTTTCTAAAAAAATTTTTTTTTACTCTTAGAGTAAAATCTGCTCAAATGCCAGGACCACATGTTAATTTTACATACATTTCCTCCAAGTATTTCAGAGGGGAAAGGCCTAGTGTAAAATTGTCTTAAAAATATAGTAAGCTAAGGGGGCGCATGGGTGGCTCAGACGGTTAAGCGTCTGCCTTCGGCTCAGGTCATGATGGGATCGAGCCCCACATAGGGCTCCCTGCTGAGCCGGGAGCCTTCTTCTCCCTCTCCCTCTGCGGGCCGCTCCCCCTGCTTGTACTCTCTCCCTGTCTAATAAAAACATAAAAGATCTTTGAAAAAAAATATAGTAAGCTAAGGGCGCCTGGGTGGCTCAGTCAGTTAAGCGTTTGCCTTCGGCTCAGGTGATGATCCAGGGGTCCTGGGATCGAGCCCCATGTCGGGCTCCCTGCTTCTGCCTCTGCCTGCTGCCCCCCGCCCCCGGCTTGTGCTCTCTCATACTCTCTCTGTCAAATAAATAAAAAAAAAAATAGTAAACTATACTATTTTACTCCTCACATTAGTTTAAGAAGAAATGAGGCATAAACAGGCCAAAAGTGAGAACAGTGTATATGCTTCTACAATACCCCAAATTAATCATTTTCAAGCTTGTTTGATTTTGCTCTTCTTTAATAAACAACAACAGAATAAAAGAGAAAGAGTTTTGGAGGCAAATAGATACAGGATCAACTCCGAGTTTTACTGTTACTTAACTGAATTCCTTGGAAGAGTTAATTGCTCTACTCTGAGCCTCAGATTCCTCATTTATAACATTAGAATATTCTATTTTCCCTTCTTATTTTAAAGAATAGAGATAATATATTTAGAGTAAAAATTTAATGAATTGAAATCATAACAATTTTTATTAAGGAATATGGGCAACAGATAGAAAAAGGCTAAAGCCCTTCAACAAGTGTCATATAAATACTTAACAGCATCAATAGAAATGATACTTATAATTATAAATTTACAAACTTTCTAAGTTAAAATGTCTAGTCTCTTTAAGATAGCCAGCATTATATAACGGACAGCAGACTACACTGAGAGTCAGGAAATCCGGGTTTGATCTTTGGCTGACTCATTTGGGAGAGTTGTTAGCCTTTTCTGAAACTTAATTTCCTCACTTAATAAATGAGAAAATGTAAGTAAAGCACTAAACGGAATGCCAGTCACAGAAGAGCTCCAAAAATTAGTCTCCCCCTCCTTCTCCTTATCACCACCACCACCACCACCACCACCACCACCATTGTCCACTGAGCATCCATTAAACGTCTTAAACTGGTGTTTCTGAAAGGTCCCCTTTAACTATGAAACGCTTTGCCTCCCTATGATATTTCTTATTCCATGGATTCTAGGCAAATAAACACAGAAATGCAAAATACAGTTTTCATTGTATGCTGTCATCAGAAAAGCCTAAAAAAGTTAAAGTTTAGTTGAAACTAAGGCTTTCAAAATAATAACATGCGCCATATAACCTGTCAGAGTGATCTAGTACTCCTGTCATGTAGGCAACTTTCTCTCAAACACATGCTTTTCTAAAAGAGTCACTTAAGCTATTCCCACCCAAGGAAGAAAAAGACATACTCACAAAATATTGCTTAATGTGCCTTATGATTTTTGCATTTTAATTTTCATGGTTGGCTATTAAAACCATACAGAACTTCATCAAAATTAAGCAGGATACAATAAAATACTAACTGGAACTGCTAAGTCAGTTTGTAGATAAATATTTTAATGACAATTTGGTTTTACAGAAGTATATTCTCTTCAACCTAACAACTTTGATAATGCATTATCTACAAAAAAAGGGTTATTAAAGGTTTGTAAGAGGGATCTACTCGTCATCTTCTAGAACCTTCGAGATCACCAGGGTGAGTTTTGAATAGCTACCCCCCCAGTGCTGTGTTTTGAGAAGATAAAGACTGAGGCTAGGTTGTCGCCACTGATTTCCTTGACTTTCCCTGCTCCACATCACTTAAAACTACAAGCAAATAATGTTGCAAGCAAACAAGCTATCAGACAAAATTTTCAAAGCTTTATGACTCCTGATTCATGAAATACTTTGCAGTAAAAAAATCTGTAAACATGGGTGATCATTTGGAATGCTCCGTGTGGTTAAGAAAACACAGATCCATTACATTATCAGTTACAAAAGAGAGTGTTTCTAAGGGTCTGGTGATATGGTAAATCTCCAGTACGGCTGGTGGGGTCTCAGTGATGGACTTCTGAAGGGCAATCTGGCAATACGTCTCAAAAGCCTTTAAAAAAAACCCAGCCTAGCTTTTAACCTATTGATTCTACTTTTAGGTATATCCTAAAGGAAAACTTGGCAATGTGTACAGATTGGGCAATAACATTTACTGCAGAATTGATTATAACAACACACTCACACACACAAGGGAAAACCTCATAAATGTCCAATAGTTGAGGGTGTTTAAATAAATTATGTTCATCAATAAAATAGAATGTACCTTTGAAAATGCCGTTGTAAATAAGTATTTATTGACATAAAATATGTTCTTGATATGGGGGGACAGAAGCAGATATTTGCAGCCTAGCTTTGGCTGGCTCTCATACCAAATATGGATTTACCTTACTGCTAGGGGACACAGATAAATTCAAACCCTGGAGCCTATCCATTCTATCTATCTATCTATCTATCTATCTATCTATCTATCTATCTATCTATATCTATCTATCTATCCTTGCTAAACTAGGTAGTTGGGGAAGCCTGGATTTGTGAGATGATCTACCATTTCCCTGCACAAGACGCAAGTAAACAGAATATGAAAAATAAAATAAATGTTCAGAATGTTTATGTTCTTGTGGGGAAAAAAGCATAAATGCACACAGCAAAAGATCTAGAAGGATATACTGTGAACAGTGCACTAAAAGTAGGTTTAATTTTCTCTGGTTTGTAATTATGCTTTTTAAAAATGTTCTTTTTTTTTTCTATTTTCCCCCCAACATACATAGCAATATGTATGACTTTAGAAAAATTAAAACAAATAAAAAGATCAATCAAGAACTAACATACATTTTTCTTTTAGATAGGTCAAGTTATCCAATCCACATAGTTCATCCCATGCTACAGGTATAGCCTGGCTGTCAAGCTAATCCTAAGAGAGTACCACACAATAATACTGGGTGTTGATACAGGATGCTCGGTTCTAGAAAGAGACACAGGCATTTCTACATTTCTAAATATTGTTTTATACATGTTTTCTAATTTTTGACTTTAGAAAAACAATGACAAACTTTATACATTCAGTACTCTCACAGTAAAACATGTGAAATTGCCCATGCAAGCAATCTATTTTATGACATAATTATAAATGGTGAAATTGTGTCCTGAAAGATTTTTTAAAAGGGAAATTTACTATTGTCAATCATTAGGAGAAAGGTAATAAAAGGCAAGTGAAATATTTGTAGATATTCCTCAAAGACTTAAATA